CTTCCTTTACAACCACAACCTTTTTCTAATGGAATTTACCCACCAAAAATATGTATAGGTAAAGAAGACATTAAATTTCCAAATTCCAAAGTTAGTCCCTGTAAGAGGCACATGCACTAAGCATTTTCTCTACTGAGTCCAGTGCGAGCCAGATCTGCTCCTTACACATATGAGGAGGTACAGAACTGATTGGATAACTCATTCATGAAGTTCCTGCAAAATTCAAGGAACTGGCCCCCTGAAAAAAACTCAGAGGTTGCAGGTGTATACCCTGATCTTCCCATTAAACTTTACAAGCATGGATACAAACCAAAACAAGTAACCTTGGCATAGGGAACTGCAGCAACAAACCCTAGCAAAGTTTCCAGTCTTGTACATTCTCTCACGTCTATTGCAGTGTCTCCATCCTGGAGCAGATCTTCATACCTGATCGCTCTGTCTGCACCTGTAAAACTGTTCAGGTAATACTCTTTGGAACTCAAGTTAACTAGAACAGCAGTGCTCATATGCCTGTGGCTGTTCTGTCTTGTTCCTAAAACAAGGCAGTACCTTCCAAATGCTACTGGCCTGTGCTAAATCTGAACCGTGCCCAGCCACATCTGCGAGAATGACAGGTAGCTCCCCCTAAAACTGAGTTTGGAACCATGCTAACTAATTATCTGCACAGCCTCCTGTATGGCAATATTTACATTAATCAAGGGCCTTACTAATACGGCTGTTACTATTACCATAATACTGTGTTCCACCCCAGTGCAGAGCTGAGGAGGTAATGGTGTTTTGCAAAAACCTAAATGAGCCTCACAGTACCCATTCAGAGAAGGACGTGGGTTTTACACAATTTACAGACTAGGAGACTGTGAGATCAAAGGCTGTGCAATATACTTCTGTTCAAGGATATGGCAGTAAAGAGCCAAAGATAAGGGATGGGATTCCTGATTCTTATTGCTTACATTTAGCTACTGGACCACTATCTATGATGCTAAATTATTCATTGTTTCTCACAGGTAAGGCAGGCACGCACTCAAAAGAAAAGCTGTGTGCAAGAAAAAGAGTTATCAAAGTAGTCACACACTCTTTCAAAAGAGTTACCTAACTGACAAAAATATGCTGCTGTAACACATTTTCATGTGTAGGCAGCAATTCTTCTCCCCATCCTAAGGCTGGAATCCTGTGTGGGGAAAACTGAACTGCTCGGTGTGTGTAAAAGACAGGCCTCATTAACTCTTGGACATCTTCTCATTTCTTGGTCATAAATCCTATTACCTTGTATTACAAACTGCCATAAAACTCACAGATAAAAGATAATTTATGCTCAGTGTACAGAAGCTAATGTTTCTGTACTCCTGAGAAGCACAAAACCAGAAAATGAGAAAGTATGTATGTGAAACCTTAAGCCATTCGTATTGAGCATGGCTAGCATGATAAACATGACTCCAAGGGCCTAATGCTTTTCAGCCAGGCTATAGTCTAACAGTAATTGATATTACCAAATTTCAAGCATAAAATGGATGAACTGTTGCATAAAATATCCTGCTTATAAAAAGGGATTACTCATTAAAAATTCAGGCTTTCCTTCCTCCCCCACTACAGAAAGAAATATGACCTCTATTCAGTACACAGGTACATTTTTTATTTTTTATTTGTAATTTTTTTTTTTTTAAATTCCAACCATCACGTTAGAAAATGCTTCAGAACAGGCACCAGCTCCTGGAGTTCTTACAGAGACTCCTTATTCCTGTTAGTCTCCCTAATTACTGTTGCATGCCACACAAAAGTAACAACTCTTGGAATTGGCAAAATCAAAGCCAACTTAATCTTCTGTTTGCCTTTTCTATTAAGCAATTTAAAGTCTTCAGACTTTGGCACTGATTTTAACTGTGTTGGTTATCTGCTCAAAGGCTGCCTGTTATTAGTTTTCCTTTCCCATTCAGACAAGAGAAAATCTTTCACTGTCAACTTATAACTTCTGTAGTTACAAATTAGGTTCCCATTTTTTGGGCCCTTCCATAAGTACACCTCATTTCATCCCTGCTTTTCTTTTTTTTTTTTTTTTTTTTAAATACTTGTTTAGTAATTTGACATATATTGGAATTAATTCATCTAAACTTAGATACCTACATCATATATAGTCAGATCTCAGTCTCCCACCCAATTTCTCCATAGATGCCATGGAGACAGTTATGTATGGGGTGTAATAACTATTTCCACCTTTTCTTTTTCTATTTTCGTTAGCGGAGCTCATCCCTACAGGTCAGACATTAGAAAGTTTACTTCCTTGTAGTTTTCTTCACTTTCCATGCCAAAACCATTTTATCTATATATTTCAAAAACTTGCACTGTCTGTACATCTATTTCCCAAGAAATGCCTCAATACTCAAAGTGCCCATTACTCTGACATTCAGTACCTGGATAACTTTATTGGCTGATGAAAAAAAGGCTTTGTTTACCTGGTCCCCCTTGCCTGGTCACCAAATCCCAAATATTGTCCTTACTGTGTTCCTCTTATCACCCTGAAGATTTTCAACAAGTCTATAAACATGTTTCCTACAACATGTGGACCCTTTTTACAGGTGTGTTAAATATTAATATATTTCTTCTACTGTAAGATATCAACATTGTAATAATGTGAAATCACTCTCTTTCAAAGCAATTGCTTAATAGATTTTATGGTGTACTTACATATGTACTCACACAATCCTCCTCTTAGTTTCTGCATTAGTAATTAAAAATTCAGCAGCTTGACTTGTTACTCCCCTTTGTATCCTTCCTATGGCTGCTATGGGACTACCAGTTTATCTGCTGTATCCAAATATTTTAGACTCTGCCTAGGTACCCATGACAGAGACCCACACTCCTGCTACAGTGAACAGAGGGCTAATGTTATTTTGAAGCAAAACCATAATTATATTTTGCTCATATATATTATCCAAAGAATCCAATAAAGATCAGATTCTTCTTCCCCAAGAGAGAAAGGTTCAGATCTACATTTTATAGAAAAAGAAACATGCTCTTAACTTTATAATTTGTGTTAGCATTTGAATCTCAAAACCTTGCTTCATTTGTTGCACAGTTTCCAGACTTGCATTTTGAAAAGTCAGTGGGTCTCCCACTGTGTTAAACTCCCTCCTACCTTGATTTTAAATTACAAAGGGGAGAGGGAAAAGAGAGAATGTCATGATTGTGGCTGCTTGCAAGAGAAAAATACCAGACTGAACTCCATATAAAAAACTCCACAAAACAAAAAGGCACTTCCAAGCTTAGCATCCTTGTTTTTTTCTGTGTATAAACTACTCACTTTATCTAAACTAGGCAGGATTAATGTTATTATCTGGAGGTACCACGACAGTTGACTGCAGACGCTGACAGTGACAGGTTTAAACAACAATCAAAAGCAATTTTGTGTCAAAGTTAGCACAGAGATGGTTTAAATGGCCTGCTCCCATATCTGCCCTTTATTTCTGTACACTAGAAATAGCCTGAAGTTACAGAATGGCAATGCAAACTGACAGCCAAGTATGGCAGAAAAAAAAATAATATCCTGTAGAATTCTCCCCATCTACAAAAAAATATTATGCGCTTCTTGTATGCCATTATTAAAAACAGAACAAAGACATTTTCAGCAAACACAAACAATTAAAAACTTCCCATTTCTATTTAAAATGCACAAATCATGGCTTTTTTCAAGTTATAAAGAGTTTAAGTATTCATGGAAGATTCTTGTGAAAGTAACCTTAGGTATGGCATTTTAAAGCCACTTACGGAAAGGAAGAATGAGAATAATTAAAAGTCTTTCCAGTCCCAGCAAGAGATTTGTAAGCTAAACTGGGGATTCGCCACCTTATCTTATCTTCAACATGTTCTTAAAAATATCCTAAAATAAAGTTACAGTGGTTAGTGAAGTACTGCAATCACAGATCAATCACAAGCAAGTTACTCCTAACTTTCAGATTTTAACCAGTTATCGCTTAGCCCTCTTTCCCCCTCACTCCTGCCTCTATCCATTTAACTGTGTAACTAATGATCAGAGTAATTCCTCATCATACTGACAAAACAGCTTCTGTGCCTACTACCTTTCCTGCAGACACAGTGCTTCAAATTGTTAATAGAGTATCTGCCACTGTGGCTTTAAATCTATAATCTCATAGAACCTCATTAATGCTTTTCTCGAATTACAATGAAGCACATCTGGTGCAAGGTTTTGTCAAATTTACCTGTGAATGCTATTTATTTTAATGAAATAAGCTTTCCAAGAGAAACTGGGAAAGTTAGTTAAGCTTCTAGAAACCTTGACAACAGGAAAAGATATTTCCAAGCAAATAAATGAATCACTGTTAGAGAACAGTGTTTGATGTTTAGATTTGCCTTTAATTTAAATCTTAGAAGCAGAAGATCAGCAAGATCTTTTGTGTGTGTTGTTTTATGAATCAATAAATGCAGTAACAGACCTGAAAAACCACAAAAATAACACATCTTTATGAAATTCCCTTGCTGATGCTATATGGATTCCCATCGTGATGAACTGCACCACTGGGACTGCATAAGAGCTCTGTCTGATGTGTATGTCAGGAACTCACTCATATCATCCTCTTCTGTCTTTCTTTTGTTCTTCTTATTGCAGACCTCCTTATTGCTACTCAACATGCAAAAGGGCTGTGTGCTGAATTTAAACTTACTGGAATGCAATTTAAAAGGTTAATTCTACTTTTTTCCCATTTATAATCCAAATCCTACATTTACCCAAATTCAGTTTTCATAGTTTCTGGTTTTCTTCTTTCTCTGCTTCAAAAACAAATCTATTCTGAACAAATTAAACAAAAATCTTTTCCAAGGCAGGAATGCAGAGCCCATCATTTGCTGTCCATTTGCCTGCAATGTATATTATTGGGCTCTGAACCTACAGAAGACAAGTGAGAAAATGAGCACTTAACGGTGCAAGACCTATGCTGTCAGGGTGGGTGGAAGGTCAATTTTATTATGAAGTAACTTTGTGCAACACTTACAGGTTGAAGCAGGTAAATCAGTGAGCAATCCTGGATAACTATCACCGGAAAGGGAGTGATATTCGTTGCGTGAAAAAGTGTTTCCACTGATGCCATTGTTTGGTCAAAGCGTCCTCCAAGTCCGCCCAAAGTCACAATCACATCAATCTAAAAGACAAAACAAAAAGAGTCACGGAGAAAACTCTCAGCAATGAGCTACTAGACCCTGAAAATCCACATTAAAATCACTTTGGAGAAAAAAAAAAAAGAAAAAAATAACTACTGACTGTAGGAAAAAGAATGTCAAATACAGTTATTTACTCCCATTATTGATAAATACCACTATGCGATTTTGAGGCTGAGTATTAAAGCACAGTAAATTCATGGACAACATGTTGTACTTTTTAAAAGGATGTAACCGTTCTCCCTAAAATACAGGCCAGTCTTTGAAGGTACTTACCTGTCTGCCCTAAATATATGGAGCCCAAGATCTATCCCTCCATATCTAAGCTTCTCAGGTAAGTGTGGTATATCTGAGCCATAGTATCCCCAGCTCTTCACATCATTTCAGTATTATCCTCACGGTTTATAGAGCAAATAAAGGAAATTTCAGGTTAGGGCCATTCTATGTCATTCTCATTCCTGCCACACAGCATTCAATGTACAAGCCATACCCCTGAAAGGTTGGCTCTGCCCAACATTAGAAGTACTACTGAATAGGAGTTCCACCCCAAGCAACTGGGACATCATCTCTGTCAGGGACAGAGAAGCTGGAGCACTCTCCTGTCCCAATCCCAGACACGCAGAAAGCACTACGTAACTGCGGTAGGCCATGGAGTTGGACTGCTCCTGCTCAATTCTCTCACACAAGTATTCTAGTATTTAAAAGGCTTGGTTAAGAGCTTTCAGGTGCTCAGATGAAAGGTCACTGAGTGCAAGTATTATTATTATTATTATTATTATTACTTCCATAATGTCGATCAGTTTTGTTCAGTAATCGTATTTTAAAAAGCTACCACTAAGTCATATCTAGGGCCCTAATACACTGCAGCTCGAAAGTCTTTAGAAGCTACCTTGACAATGGCCATCTGGTGAGGTTTTCAACTTTATAGAGCTTAAGTCTATGGCTACTGTGATTACATGAAATTTTACTCAACCCAGGAGCCACATAATGGTGCTCTGTGTATCCGAAATGATGTATTAATAGCATCAGCTTCTATTTTTATTACCAGGTCTAGGGCTTTATGATTCTGTTGAATATTCTTTTGCATGAAAATTGTATTTTCCTTGAAGAAATACACCATTTTTCTCATCACCACCAGAAAAATACCTGAGAGGCCAGAATGGATCAATATAACACATTATATTAGCAGCAAACACTGAAACAAAAAAACTATCCTTGTACTGCTGACAGCATGTATTTTCTGTGCAGATTACAGATCACATAGACCTAACGTACCACCAACAGAATATGAATCGTAAGAAAACCTATCCTTAAACAGAAGACAAAATAGCAAAAGGTAAAAAGCATGTGTTCCCAGCTAAGCCACAATACCATAATACATTTTCCCTTTTATTGATTCCACTGTAGATACAAACTGCTTTTGTTTGACTGGTGATGACTGTGAGTTAAAAGGGCAGATCAATTCTCTGAAAATAAAACTATTAATAAGACCCACCAACACCGGTTTCCTACCAGGCAATCAGCAGCAAAATGCTCCCCTCCTCCCCCAGTAGAAACCATGAGGAAAATCTTCTACCCCAACCTGGAACCACAGTGAAGTTAAGGTGGCTGGCAAAGGATCAGGATCCACATGTATGTTGTTTTTCTTCTGAGCAATGGGACTGAAGCTTAAATATTAGCCTAGCCTCATCTTGAACAAACTGAGCAACTCTGTATAGTTTCTTGGTGTATACGTCTCATCATACATGAACTTGTTTGTTTTGGCTTTGATGTTTCATACAGTTTGAAAGGTAAGAATGAAGGAAACACAGACTCCCTTTGACTTGGAATTAAAATGATGCAATAACATTCTGAATGTGTCTTCTTTCCCTTGTAAAACTGCCAGTATGTCAGAAAAATTCTGCTCTGTTATTCACACACATGTACTTGTGTGAACTACAGGACATATCTCAAGCAATGAAGTGCTCAGTGACTGCAGCTTTCTGTGGTAGAGATTGGCAGAGCTGTGCAAGCTGAAGAAAAACATAAAAAAAAAATACTTCTGTATTTTCCACTATGTCAGAAGTGATCCCGAAGTCCTACTTCTTATTCAACAGCAACAATGCAGTCTTGTGGATTGGTTCCCAAAAAGTATGAAAATAAAACCAATCTAGCATGGAGTAGATACATTAAAAGGTATTCATAAACCAGAGGTTTGGGGTTGAGGTATGTTGGGAGAAAGCTAATAAAGATATCTGAAAAGGAAATGTAGCTACTACTTAGGATACTTGCATGGATTGTGAAAACGAAAAACACAAGTATGTGACAGGTATGCAAGCAAACCCAGCTGGAGTATGAGAGCAGCAGACTGAGAGAAAAGCTAGAATTCTGCACTCCTGTGACAATTGACAGTCCTGCCTTTCACTGGATAATCTTGCAGAAGTGACAGGCAAAGAGACATTTTAGGACTTTTAGAGCCTTTATTTGAGGGTCTAGGTATACACACTTTGTTTATTTAATTAAAACACAGAGAGGCTAAGTGCAACAAAAATCTCAAGAGCTTTTCCATCCTAAAGCTAACATTTCTTTTAAAAAAACCACACAACCAAGAATCACAAACTAACAAAACAATCCCTTCCTTCCATGCAATCACTGCTCCTCTCACTCCGTCAAGCACTTAAGAAAATGGATGTGCCATGAAAGCACATACACGACTCTTGGTCATTCCAGAACCTAAGACAAAGTGAATACCAATGCACAAGACACTACAGAGAAGAAAGGCCATTAATTTTTCCACTATGATTTCCTGTATAACACAGGCTACAGAATTAATACTGTTACTGCTAATGAGCCCAGCAGGTAACATTCGACTAACACACTGTACTTCAATTGAAATGTCCATGCTTCACTTAAATGTCCCATCACCAGTCCCCTTACACAATTTGTTTTCACACAGTGTCATTCATTTCCTGAAAAAAGGATATAAAATCGTAAATAACTACAAAGAACATCTTAGATCATTGCAGGTACATTCTCTTAGACTATCTATAACCTGACTTCAATGTAATGCACAGCATCTTTAAAGACTATGAAGCTTTAATTTAGAAAGAATTGAAGATCTAAGAGTATGATCCAGTCATATTTAAATGATACACCTATTATCTCTTTAAAAAGTTTTAGAAGTCACTACCAAACAGCAGGGCAGTTAAAAGGAGAAGGGAAGCATAAAGGAAGACTTTGTGCTTGCAATTCAGGGATGTATTTCTTCCTTCTTCCCCAAGCTGTAATTTAGAGGTTAAAGTAACCAAGGGGAGCTGAGGTTCCCATCATATCAGAATGAAGCTGCTCAGATTCCTGCTTCCACTCTCACAGAGACTATTGAAATGGACAACCTGCTGTAACCTTTGCAGGCTTGCTAAACATGGTCTGTTGAAACTGGTCCAGCTGACATTCCTGTTTCTGGTATGAATGGGTTAAATACAAAAAAAAAAATTCACTCTATGACTGAGGAATATGTATTTAAGGATGCAGGAAGCTGGGAACTGCCTGGAGTGGGTGAAAAGAGTGCAATATCATTAATTGTAATGTCAGCATCACCATGACATATAAGAGTGAAGTCCAAGGCTCAAACTGACAGCAAAGGATGCCCACTCTTTTCAAAACCATGCTCATTATCTCTGATAAGAAATACTCTCCCCAGGGACAGCACAAACAACTCAAATGACTTTTTTCCACATGAGCTCACTTTCAGCCAGACAACTTGCAAGCAAACATGCTTAAGGTTTAGAGAAGTGGGTAGGTGAAAGAAAACACATTTACTGACAACAGCGCTGAAAGAACTGCAAAAAAGACTTCCCCTAAAGGAAAAACAGAAGGCAACAGTAATCAAGATGTTGCAAAAGCTCTGAAATAATGATTAATCTCCCACCGTCCGACACCATGGAGACCATCCACTGCTAATATCCAAGATATTACTATGCCAATTACAAGTCAGATGTCTGATTGGAACAGCTTCCTTTTATCACCTCACTTCACTGAAATCTTACGCATTCCACAGCCTTTCTTTATTTTCTGTCATTCATAAGTTTACTCCTTTAATTTCTGAAGGAATATGATATAGACAATAAAGTTACTGTAGTAACATGCATGTGTGTTGGAAGCATATTATATGCTGAAATACCTATATATTGAAGTATATCATATGTTGAAAAGTAATCAAGTAATAATGTGAATACTAAATTTATTATTGCTTTATTGCTTCATCACTTCATCAATTTTGACCAGTTTACCAGAAAAGTATTTTTTTTTCTTCATAAGGCAATTTGTCACAACAGGATGTGGTTTAAAACTCCAGATACATCTTTTCTAGTCTTTGTATCAGTACTAAAGACTTTAAAACACAGCAAGCGCTTCCCTTGATAACAAATGGGTCAGAGCAGATTTTAGCTCATTTGTCCATAGCTGTATTGGAGCTCTTGTGCTGGCCATTTCACAATCATTTTTTTACATTATCCTCAGAATTGCAGTGTAAATTTAATGAACTATTAAAATCCCATAATCTAATGTTGAATATACTGCAAGTTATTATCCATTTTAGTTGATTCTACTAGCTCTCTAGCTCAGTGTTTTACATAAAGGTATGGCATTCATTTCCTATAGGAATGATATGCTGAACCACACAGCAGCATCTGAACTTTTCTCAGGTAGAATCCTATTTACTCTAGCCAGAATTTCCTTGTTGTTTCAGACATCTGACTCTTCATGGTAACAAGAGCTCTCAGCCAAAGGCTGCCATCCTGTCTGAGTACCTTCAATCAGATTCATCGTCACCTCACTGACTCCACTAATCTTTATATTATATTGTTCCAGCTGCTTCACAAACCATTTTGCTTCTTACCTTCATCTTCTTACATTCTTATCCAAGTGCTTTCTCTGTTTGTAACCCTTTTTATTTCAGATAAGAGGTTAATTCTTTCTGCTAATGACAGTGAGTATGCAAACAGAT